TATTTATACATAAATTTTATCCAGAATATCTAGTATTAAAGTGAAGAAAACTGCAAAAGTATTGAATAATAGAAACACTTGACTACAGTAAGACACATCATGTATATGGATGGTAAGTTTAAGTATTATAAAGATTTAGATTTTTCTCCAAATTAATTTCTAGGTTTGAGGAAATCTAATCAAAGCCCTAATTTTGTTGGTCTTATAAAATAAGACTAAAATTGAATTTGTCAAAGGATATATTCAGAAAAGGCAAATAAATTAAATTATAAGATTTTTCTATAAGGATGTTCTATGCAGCATTGTTTAAAATAGTGAAAATGTAATTACTTAAATATTTAAATTATTACCCTGCATGTTATGATAATAATTTTATAGGCACTAAGATTGTTTTATAGTAAATGTCTTGTTAGGTAGGTTACAAAATGGTATGCATGTTACAATAATAATTTTTATTTTGAAAATATTCTAGACATATATTATAGCTATATATATTTATCTATAGGAAAAACAGTGGTCCAAACCTTTACTGCTCTTCTCCAGGGCCAAATACTGCTCTTCTTTCAGGGTGGAAGTGTAGAGAACTATTCTCTATCTTGTGAACATCTTTGAGCGACCTCCACCTTTCATAAGTGGCATTTCCCATGCATTTCTGTGTTCATGTTTCCTTCTTCAATCTGACTCATTATCATTTCATCAAGGAAATAATTATAGTTTTGTCCACTTCTTACAACATTTTTATAATATATGCATGCATTTCTTTATTTTATAATGTCTGTCATTGCTAAGGTTTTGAGACTGGAAAGGAAAACTGCTGTATAAGTTTATTCTGTAATCTTAAAACAAAACTGGAGAAAATATTGGAAATATATTTTGCCAACAGCAGTGAAGAGTGGCTTACTTCTACATTTATAGTGTTCATGATTGGGTGGTGGAATTATGAATGGTTTTTGTTTTCTATTTTTTTATTGGCATGTATTGTTTTTGTAATCAAAATGGACACAATATTTGTTACTATTTTTAATATCCCTAAAAATAGCTTCTAAAATGAAGAAAAAGTAAACATTTTTAAAAGTTTTATTTTTATTGTTTTAGATCACTTATAGAAATAAAATAGACATTTTCTAGTAAGAAATACACTCAAATCGGTGCCACTGCTAATACATAGGGTATATTGTGCTAAATGAACACAGTATTAGAGGATAATCTCTTTGAGAACAAACACTGTGCCAAATGTATTTAAAAAAATTTTTTACATGTTTCCTGGTACCAATGCATTTTGATATCATCAGTGAAGCTACCACAGGGTGTTATACAGAGTAAGCAATTAAATGTAGTTGAATTAAACTGAAGTATTTAAGACTGACTTACTATCCACCTCAATTCAATTTTATCAACTGCCTTATACATTCTAGTTTGATATATTTAAAGGATATATTTTCAACTCTTTAAAAATAATTTAAAAATTTCTGAAAAAAAATATATCATTATGTTAAAGAAACAGGGGGTATATTGTACATTTATTAATTATACATTCTCTGGTTTATTATCTTAAAAAACAGTAAGTGGCATCTACTAATATGATACTCTGTGAGGATATACCTATGCTTCAATGTATTGTCACACACATGAGACCTGAATAATCTCATTATTTGACTTTCTTGCTTTTAGAAAAAATTTTATCATTATTTCAGAAAAAAAGAATGACCTTGATCTTATAGGACATAGCTTCAAGTAGAACTGAATAGAATGTAGTGCTATAGTCTTTTTAGGTATTGAAAAGGTACTTATTTTTTTCTCAGTCCCCAAAAGGGGGGTAAAATAAATGTGACAAAGGGGTTATTGATCTCAGATTACAGAGTCATGCCTTCCCCAAGGACACTCAAAGTAGACCATTAGGAAAAATGGGTTACTGGGACAAAAATTATCATAAAATGATATACACTTACATAGGATTCCAGGGGACTTCTGTGGGTTTTATTAGGGTTCTGAAAATATGCAATATGAATAAGTTAGATAGAACCTGGTAACCTGTCCCTCTATTCAATTTGTTGACCTGAGTTTAATATAAAAAGAAAAAGTTTATATCTACTGGAAATATATACATCCTGCATAGCAACGAAGTATGGGGAAAAAAATCTAATGTGACTAGACTTCTGATCGATTTCCTAAAGTTCCATCGCTTTCAATCTCTCAGTGATGACATACTTCCCTGCAGTCAATATACATCTCTTAATTTGTTTGCAGGAAAATTGGCCTCTTTTGCCTTCGCAAACCACACTATGTAATCAATGGCTATGTTCTAAATAGAATTCAGAAATGTCTTTAGAAATCGAGGTCAGATTCAATAAATTATTTTTAGCCTGCTCTCCCTCTAGGAACTTATCATTACCATAGCATAGCCGGGAATTATGTTTTTCTTCCTTAGATCTGCAAACCAACACACATTCTACTACTACAGGCCAAAATTTACAGAGCAATCACATGCTATTAATATATTTTGTTCAATAAAATCTATCCCCAAATCACTTCTTGGAAACGTATCATATTTACATGATTCTTGTGATCTTTTAAAGCATAGAAATTGATACTTGAGTTATTTGGCCTAGTAAATAAATCTTCTGTATACGCACATGGAACAAAGTCTTAATTTTTAGGAAACTAAGAGACTTCTAATACTATTAAATGATCCAGGCTGAGTAAGATACTTAGGCTTAGGATTTGAAGTCAAAATTAGAGTAGAACAATAAGTAATAATTACTGCTTAGAGTAAGCTATTTCACTTATTTTGGAGTGTTTGCTGTTCCACAAAATAGTTTACTTTTCCCTGAGAATGGTTAGTGCACCACACTATCATTTTATTTGAAGTACAATGTATCTGTGCCATTTCAGTTACCACTGCTGAGATGTGTATATATCACCAGTATATGGCCTACACAAACCCACCTGACTGTAAATCTCTGAATTAATTTGAACACTGAATCTTAAGAAGGCATCTTCCTTGATTGGTCTCTCCTACAAAAATCATTCCTTATAAGCAACAACAAATGCCACAACCTTAAAATCCTAAAATAACAGTGGAAGGATAGTCTATATGAATGTTCACCCACAACACCATCAAATAGTTAATTCATTTGGACAAAAGACACAAGTGAAGGAACAACTGGAGCCAAAACCAGAGTAAAGACACTGCCAGAACAATTATATAAGGTTATGGTTCATTCTTTACAATAGAGTTATTTAAGGTGGGTCATAGAGTTCACTAAGACTGAGGCCTACAGAGCTGATGTTGATTACCTACTGCTATGGTTCATTCACTCACTGATTTACCCAGCGTTATCTATGCACCATTGCTGCTCCAGGCACAGTTATAAGAGGTGGGATACAGCAATGAACAGCATAATAAACTTCCTCCTCTCATGCTCCCATGGAGCTTCCATTGTGGATGCAGCACAGCATGTAGAAGATGAAGGAGGAGGAGGAGGAGGAGAAGAAAAATATGTATGTATATAAATATATAAACAACTTAAAGTAGCAATAACTACTATGAATAAAAACCAAAGTATCAAATTCTCAAACAACCATGTTGCATTGCATCACTTGGAAATATACTTTAAAACAACTACAGCATAATATTTTCAGAATTATAAAACAAGAAAACAACTTTCTCAGATATAATCTATTTACATACTTATATAAGTAACTTTTTTTAACTTATTATTACTAGGATTAGTGTGATCCAACTTTTTTTTTTTTAATTCTAGACTTATGCTTAGGATGTACATTCTAGCTCTCAGCTTTCATTAGCCACAGGCTACATTTAAGTTTAGGATTATAGTATTACCTTAAGAAGAGCATTAGAATAAAACTCAGTAAATGAGGATTCTAGAGATTCAAGAGATCATGAGATCATGAGCAAATCTTTAATCCCTTTGTGTTGGTTTCCTCTAACTAGCAAAGGTGGATAAGCTTTTTCAAATAAATATAAAGGAGTGTTTGAGAATTTCTATCCAATTCAACTCATAATATATCAGGTATAGTGAAAAGTATGAGGGTACATTGAAGAAGACAAGTGCTAAATAATTTATCACATGTGTTAGAAAAATGAAGCCTTACTCTATTCTAGAAAAAAGATAAGCCACTATAAAACTTAAGAACAGACTTTAAAGGGGAGCGTATGTTAGTGCATATCCTAAGTAGTGTATTTGATCTCTTTGAGGTTCCCAGTAAGAAATGAGTATTTGTGTAACAACAGTAGTAGAAGTCATATTATTATTGTAGTTTTATATTAGGAAATTTACATAAGCCCCAAACTCCAAATAAATAATACACATGAAATAAATGAAACCTTGGAAGTTAACATCATCTTCCCCCTAAATTTGTAAGTGAAATGTGATCCAAACAATTAAAAATTGAAGACATGGCTAAAGCTTACAGGTGTTTTCAGAATGTGTTACTAGCCTTCTCCTTATTTCCTCATTTGCTTCTCATTTTTTACTTTCTTCACTATCTCTTTTCAATACAAACAACCATACTAGTTACTAGACAGCATGGTCAAGATAGAGTGTCCCCTTGAAATTATTCATCATTGTACTGAAGTCATTGAGGACAGGGTGAATAGCTGTAAGAAGTTTTCTCTCTAGAAGCCATATAGTTGTAAGAGAAAAGATAAAATGGCAAATTCTCTATGAACTTTGTTTTAAAAAACAAATTTTCATAAATCATACAAGGTTGATAAAAACGCTCCTTAATTTGACTTAGATATCAAGTTTTAGTGATGAATTCTTATATATATATTGCAGTTTTAGAACAAAGAGGTGAGATTTCCAGCACTCACAATAGCTACATCAATTTTCCATTAAAAGCTTCAGAATTTAGCTGATCTCATTTAGTAATAACCTAATTAGTGTAGGTAAGGAAATAATAACATTCATTAATCTATTATCTTTTTTATATAAATTATATAATGAAATTCATTTACAGCCATAAGAATACAGGTTATAAGTGACTCTGATAATGTGTTAACACACTGAGAAACCCAATTTAACCTGTAAGTACATATTATTTTACTGAAATTGTTCAAAATCCATTCATCATATTGTTCCATCTACATTCATTTCCTACCAGTTGGAAAAAGGGAAGCAGGGAGGGTAGAGGAAAAAGAAAAAGGAAAGGGGGGGAGGAGAAAGGTAGGAAAGAAGGAATTTCTGCTGTTATAGTCCTTCACCAAACTTTAAGGTTTTAAGTACCTCACATAAAATGGGAAGCATTTAGTCTGTTGTCATATTAAATATAACCAATAATGGCTATTGTACCCAGTTTTAGTTAAGTGATAAGAAACATAATTCATGATCTTACCTTTGTTTTTTCTGCTAAGAGCTCCAAAAAGCCATTTCCAAATGATTGTTCTCTTTAAAGCTTGGATCAGTTCCTCTTATCTGCTTTATCTGCATTTATGTTTTGGGATAAGAATTTCATGTTACAAAATTCTCAATGTGCACTGAATGGTCTTTTGAATTCTCCCCAATAACAACTCACCTATGTCCCAAAAATAAAAAGGGCCACTTCATCAGTCCATATGCCACAATTCTTTTATCTTCACAAAATTTTTTTTTTTGTGGTGAAGTCATAGAACTGCTGCTTCAATATAGGCTAAAATAACTCTTACTGCATACTTTCTTAAATATTTTATTTTCTGTAGGAGTAGAGAGTAGAAAAGAAAGAAAAATCTAAGCACTGTGAAATTCTAAGTGGAAGATGGGTGGTTTTTGTTGTTGTTACTTTGTGTTGTTTGATTTGTTTGACATTTAATAAGTCCAGGAAAATGAAAGGTCTCTCCTCCAAGAGAGCATCCTAGACAAGCAGCCAGGGCAAACCTTTGCCCCCATGAGCCCTGCAAAGGGAACAATTGCCAAGTTTTTATATCTAAGCCAAAGGGGCTTCTGCCAACATTCAAATTGTTTGAAATATGCATTATTCTAATATTCATTTAAAATATGGATTTTACTTCTTTAGATATCCCCTTGTTTTCATTTATTTAAAAAAAAATTCCTAAACTTTCTAATAATATGGAAGCTCCAGGATGCCATAACTCTCCTGTGATTTGGACAATCCCTGGTATCCCACGATATGCTCTCTGGATCTGAAACGAAGTCTGAGACACAGAGACATAAGTGATGTTTTGGGTTGAGATATACTAACTTAAAAGAAAAATTATTAAATGCATGGTATAATGAACCTTAAGAGGTTATGCAGTCAAACCACAGTTTTAGGTAAGATTATATTTGGTATGAACATAGCAATCTTATCTTTCTGATTGAAAATCTCCAGAAGGGGATATGACATATCTTACTATGTCAATAATTATAGTAGTCAAGAATTATTCAAATCCAGAAATCCTTTTCTTAGTTACAAGTCATCTATTCCTATCCACCCTAGGTTTCAATGAAGGACAGCTATTAACTATAACTACAGCATCATTATCTATTTTAATATTAAACACTAAAGGAAGGTACATTTTGTTAAGAAAAAGTTGATTTTTACTTAGAACTGTGCAAGATCTGTGAAATGATAATAGCTATAAAAATAGCAATAGACCTGAAACATCTTCAATATCTCTGCAAGCTCAGGGGGACAGAGAAACCAAGGCATTGTCCAAACCAAGGTCATGTGAAATTAAGAAAATAAAAAAGAGTCAATAGGAAGCCAATCCAGGACTTTCAGTCTTCTGTTCTTACTGCATGAATAGTCTCACTATCATTAAAGTTCTTTTCCATTCAGGTTAGACAGAGCCCTGTGGGATTCATTCCCCCTTGTGTGTGTTGCTTGGCTGAGCCATACATTTCTATTGGCCCTATTGATTAGGCATCTGCTTCCTCTGTGAGGATAGTTTGCTCTTGTGGAACCGTGTTTAGCAGCTGTTACAGTTCAGATGAGTGTTGACAGGATGAAAATTAAATTAACACCCAATAACATTTTAACACCTGGTCCAACAACTGCAATATCATTGAATTTCACCTTTTCAAAATTGCTTCGGGAGTTAATTCATCCTTACTTTGACTTTGACCTGAGGAGACATTCCTATAATTTTGCTGCAAAAGACTCTCTCCTGACTGTTCATTTATAATTTCCATGAATCTCTTTCTGATCCATGTTCGGTGTCTGCATGGGCAGTCTTTGGAAAATATTCAGTAGAAATATCCTATTGGAAAATGTGCCATCCTCTCGATTACGGCGACAGAGTGAGCACAGACAAAAAACGTTAACTGAAGAGGAAGTGTGTTTCACTGTAGCACAAGCCAGACTTACAGGCAAATAACCATGTTACCAGGGAAAAGAAAGGTGGAAAGAACGCAGGTTTCACACACTTGTGATTTCTAAGTGTGGATTGGGTTGTGAATAATGCTGGAAGGAGGATGTAAGGCACTGTCTTGAAGCCAATAGATTCTGAGGTTGTAATGCCTGGTTGAAAACTTGAACTCTCACGTTCCCTAAGCATGTGACATTGTGTATGATACTTCGATCCCTAAGCCTCAGTTACCTCATAAAATGCAAATGATAATTGTGTCTATTTCACAGGATTGTTTCAATTGATTATACAATCCATGGAAAACTTTTAAAGTGATAGTGCCTGACAGAGCCTGACGCATAGTAAGTCCTAAGTGTTAGCTACCACTATTATTTTACAGACTCCCTGAGCTGATGGGGAGCTTGGAGATGATTTAATCCAGTCCTCTCATTTTACTGTTAAGTAATCTCAAGCAGGTTCAGTGATTTATCAGGGATGCATATCTATGTAGTCAGTGCCGAGAAACAAACCCAGGTGTCCTGATCAGAACCTTCATTCTCTTTTTGTAAGACTGCCAACTTCTAAATAGACTATTTATTTAGAAAAGAATTTGTGTCCGTGCTGTGTAATTCATGTGCTTAAACTCCTTCTGTAGTTCTTTTCCTCTTCTTGGAGAAGGAAATGGTGTTATTTGCTATTTGCCAGAGCTATTAAGAGGCATAGATAATAAAACTATCATGCTATCATTTGCTGCTAAGAATTCTGATCCGATGCTAGATGTTCTGACAAAGATAAATATAACACAGTACCTAACCTACAGCAAGGGGAAAATGTTTTCATACACCACTACATAAAAAATACAGTCTACTAACAATTGTTAGCAAATGATCATTCATTTTATAGATTTTCCAGGATCTTTACTTCTTTTCTTGTTTTTGTTGCCTTCAATATTATTGTTAATTATATTTGTATATAAAGGGCGTCTAGCAGAAGGGAGAATTGCATATTTTAATTTAGTTACTGTTATACTTATTAACAATTTTTGGCAAATGTTTTGTATTTCTAGAGATTGGTATTATAAATTGTAATGATATTTTAGGATAAACTATAAATTGTATTTGTGTATCTATTTTTCCCACCTGCTTTTTCCCCCACCAAAGCAATGCAGACTCAAGAGTTTTTTTTCTTATTGTCTTATAATGGATTATCTACCCTCCAATTTTTTTTTCTTTTTATCCTAAATATATGGTAGTGATAACATAGGCACAATTTTCAAGATACAATTGGGGGATGATAATTACTTTTCAAGTGATACTTTTAAAAAAATCATTCTATTTTAATTGTCTTAAATAAAACATCCCAATCCTATATTGGTAAATTCGTGAAATTCATTGTAAGCATTAGTTTCTCAGAAAAAGATATTTTTTAAAATAGGTACAATTTCATGGAAAAAAATGACAGATGGGAGAAGGGTGTGAGGATTCTAAGTATGCTAACCTGCTAGTCTGAGAAAGGCAATCTTTCAGAAGTACAAATCAAATGGTGGGAACTATTGAATGTTTTTTAAATGTTATATAATTGCTTAATTTCCTCCATCTCCTAAATGGTTCCCTGTGTGCCCTCAGGCAAATATAGCCTTCATTACCCTAACTCTAGAAGGAATCTAATCACCCTGGGGAGAATATGCATATAATTTCAAATACATAAGCATTAAAAACATAATAATATGCTTAGAAACATATATCATTGATTCTTACTATATTTCCCAGATAAAGGTATATATATCCTGAGAGAGGTTCATTTTTTCACTAAAAATAATAAGACTGATAAAAGTAAAAAAAAAAAAGATTAGCCACTTGAGCATATATCTACTACAGGAAGAATGCTTATAAAACTCTCAAATTCTCATAGATATCATGGTGGTTTTTATCAGCCATTTGCATAACTAATTGCTTAGCATATAAAAGTACTCCTACTAAAACTAATATATTCGCACCATGGTCAGGATTAATATTTTAGCGTTGTATGAAAAATGAGAAAAAAGAATCTTTACAAATCTTTGAATGCTACTGGAATTGAGCATTCTTAAGAGGATTTGGCAGTAAATGACACTTTGCTTTTGAGTATTTTAATTATTCTGCACTACAATAAGATGTGGTCATCTGGAAAAAAATATTGTTTTCCTAGGAAAAGGAGATGCAAGAAAAGAGTGGAATTGAAATCAGGAAACTTTCCCATCTATTTCATTGTCATTATATGGAGTTCTTAAGTAATATTTCATAAAATCATAGAAGAGATCTTAATACTTTATTCTGTCCACATCCATGCCTCCTAGAAGGAGACAGAAAATCAGAAAAAGGAGAAAAACAATTATAGAGTCTTTGATCAAAAAAAAAGAAAAAAAAGAAGCAGTCCATCAGCCTTTGATACTATTTAGAAATATTCCAGACGTGGAAAGTTTGCACTACATTATCCATTCATCACATTTATAATACATTTGTCTAATTGTGTACAGCATGATAACTTTGACAAACAGAGCAGGTAGAGATCCACCATGCCATTCCACCAGAGACATAATAATAATAATAGTAATAATAATAAAATAATTTATTAAATTAATCACAAAGCTAAAATTTATGCTAAGGATCACAAAGCAAGAATCACAAGGCTAAAATTTATGCTAAGGATCATCTGATAGTAGCACTTCATTTTACCAATAAGATGACCATGACTGTAAAAAGTGGCAGCAAGTCTTGCCAATGGCCAAGTAGATAGTCAGAAAAAGACCAAGATGCAAATGGAGGGACATTACTCTGCAGGCCAGCATCCATTATACTACACCAGGCTTATTGTCCAGCTTGCTTTATTATTTGTTATCAATACTTAGATGGCACAGAAACTAACAGAAATCTAAAAATTCTATAACGTTTACCTTATTTGCCAAAGAGAATCCAAGCTCTAAACCTCTAGGGCATGTATCAGATGTGGTACAAGAGAAGTCATTTGTTTTGATATCTGCCAGCTTGCTCTAACAGGGCTCTCCCCTGCTACAGATGACTGCTAATAACTATATCCAAAGCAAGAAAATTTTAGAAGTAAAGGTTAAAATTTATGGATTTGGTACAAATATATATTATCAGGAAAATCACATACATTTATATTCAGTAGGACAATTAAACAAGATATTATTTCTTGCAGATATAAACAGCTAATGTATTAAGTGTTTTTATATAAGTTATGGCCACTGTTGGAGATTCTAAATCTGTGTTTTGGGTATTCTATAAAAAGGATAGGATTTATAAACTCTGTTTAGATATTGTTTTGCTCTCATCTCAATAGACATTTTAGATATTTCCCAGATTTTACTTTTAATATAAGACGCCATTAGAAAAAAAAGAAACAAACCAAAAACAAATAAGTTTCCCATGGTAACTGGAATTCAATTCACCCTACCACAGATGACCAAGAAAACAAAAAAGCGTTCCATTTTCATGAGTGCTTAGGCTAAGAATACCAAGAACATAATGTCATGACCTGAGAACTCTGAGGTGAGAATGTTCTTTAAAGCAGTCATGACCGATATACCTAATCAAGATGTCATGTTGCTGTAGCACATCATACCCACAACCATGTGAAACACAACCTGTAGCAGGAAAAGAAAAAAAAAAAAAAAAAAAAAAACAGGGGAAGACAGAGTCACTCTTTGGCTGATATCTTATTCATTGTATCACCAAAAATGTTAAGTAAATAGGAAAGATAGGAAAGCAGATTTTCTCCTTAACCATGAGGGGAAAGGTTCTTTATCTAGAGATTTTGATTTAAAGTTGTTACCAAGTTAGGAAAAAAAAATGTACTCATATTTGCTTTCAGAGAGAAATCAAGCTTAATACATTTATACAAATGCAGCCTTCCTAAGAAAATAGATATTGAAGTCTTAGCCTCCTAGGAGTTCATAAACTCAGGATGAAGGAAAATTGTCTTTGGAATCAGTTTATACATCCAGAATAAGCTTCAAGATGAAGTAGGAAGTAGGGGAAAAAACAAATATAACCTATCTCTGAAATTGTATTAAGTTCAATAAAAACTTATAATGTTACCATCTAATATAAAACTTTACAAGCTAAAATCTATTTGATTTATTTTAATGACTATATTCAAAATATATAATTTATAATATTTCCCATCTGAACTATTGATATTTTGTGGAAAGAATGACTTTCCAAATACTGGAAAAATTATCACATTCTTATTAAGCTCATAATCATAATATGATTATTATCAGAAAGATAACATTTGAATGTGGGCTGGTAACTTATTAGTGTTTACAGAAATAACACCAGTAAGCTCAGGTAGTCTTCATATTACAATCAATATCTGTTCCATATCCAAAACTCAAATGCATTTACTTACAAACAAATACAATAAATGTTGATTAGGACTTTGGGTATATTTAACCCATAATGAGGGCTGATTTGTTTAAAACTAGCACTGGGGGTATATGAGAGTTAGTATCAAAAGTTCAAAACAGAACTTCATGGCTGCCACAAAGAGGGGGTTCCATAACTCAGGGAGAATGCTCATAGATTTAGGAATTATTGATATGTATCTAGATATTGACTCTCTTCTTAAAGCTCTCTAAGAAGTATATTTCTAACTTGTCTTCTATTATCATCTTAATTTACGATCTACATGACTTTATATCTAAAAATTCTTCTTGAAATAATTTTGCTTCTCTAGATTTAATCAATTTCTTCCACTCCTATTCCTGGGGAGGTCGAAATCCTATATTCACCATTGTCAAAACAATTTGTAATTTTAATCTTTAAAGTCACTGCATTTATTAAGGTCATCTGAGAAGCAGATACCAAGATGGGAGTAGACTTTCAGGAGCCTTGGGAAAACACTAGCAATGAATAAAGGGGAGGAAGCAGGATTAGGCAGAGAAACCCTTCAGACTGCAATGTGGAACTGACATGTGTGAAAGGAAAGGGCAGGAAGGAGGTATGGGCAGGTAGAGTCACAGACTGCAGTGCAGCTCTAAGACAATCTCAGCCAGAAAGATAGGAGTTCTCAAGTCAAACCTGCCCTCTAGAGAAGTTCAATGTTCCATCAGAATATGCCAAAACTATTATTCCTGCCATACCCGATCTTGGCTGGGAGCATCTTAGGTTAGCGAGGCTTCATAATACAGGTGATAGCAAATCCAGAGGGCAGTGGCTAGATGTTTCTTTATGCTTCCAAAAGTAGGAGGTCTCACTGGTGCCTTCCTGTGACTGCCTTGATAGTTTTGGGACTCTTCCTGGGTCTCTCCCTTGATAGTTTTGGGACTCTTCTATTCTTTTAAAGGATAGTATCATGGAATATGAAGGCACTTTATAAATGCCCCAAAATGATGCAATAATATATATGCAATAATATATATATATATATATATAAATTTACCTTCCAATTGCAGATAAGAATTCCATCATAGAGATAGACATCACAAATTGACACAATTGCCTTCTGATAAACACTGTGGTTGGATAAATACAGCTCCTTATTCACATGGGAAATAATAACAAAACTCACTTCTCCATTCATGAGTGTCTCCTTATTTTTCCCTTGATTGATCAAACATTTCTCAGAATAAGTTTTTCAGTAACATAATTCTTCAGAATATTTATATCCAAGAATTCCTTTCCATTGCCTTTTCAAATGCGCAAAACTTTACCAAGAGGAGATACGGGAATTGTAGCATAGTTAACGTTGATGCTCCATTAACTGAGGTGAGGCACAATCGTCCTCCCTCACATAATTATTAACGGGCCAGTGTAGAACCACATCTGCTGCTAAGTATGAAGGCACATGGCGCTTGAGGGTAAGGAGCTCTAAAGTCACTGAGGAACAACTGGAGAAATGAACTTAACGACATAGAAACTGTAGTAGTTACTCGAAGCTGTTTTTTCATACATCTTTTACTCTCTTATTTGTAGAGGTTAGAAAGCTAAAAATCATACAACTCAAACTCCTTTGGAAACTTGGTTTCTAGATGTTAAGTAGCTATATTCACACGGCATGTGGAGAGCACTGGTGGAATGTTTTTTGCCTCAGCCAGGCTGAATATTCTGTTTCCTTGTTATCAACCAACTGGGTATATGGTAGCAGTGGTAGTAGCCATGAGAATAGCAGGGTTTGGTTTTGTTTTGTTTTTTCTTATATTTATTGCAGCTATGATGTTGTGATGTTAAAGCAAAAAGTCCAATGGTAACTTGCTTACAATGCTTTTGTAAACACTGAATTCCCTATCGAAAGCCTCTTTCTGTGTAATTTCAGTTTCCTAAATGGAAACCTGACCTGATACAATGATCATGATAGAGAAGTACACGTTTGATATGGAGGTGAATGAACTGTGACTATAAGTGGAAGGCTTGTATCAAATGGAAGGGTGCCATGAAAGAGTCATGGTACTGTCTATTGGAGACTAAGGATCTTCCAAAGAAAAGCAGCTTAGGTAGTAAATCCCTGGGGAAGGGATTTCCTGGTATGAAATACAGTAATGCTTAGAATTTTACTGGTAGATTTTGATGGGACTAGAGGAAGGAAGGTTTCCAGGGACAATTTCCTAGTACTTAATGATAATATATTCTTGTATTGTATAGCACTTTGGAGTTTACAAAGTGAAATCGTCTCAGCATTTCTCAGCTAATGCACTAGGCAAATCTGTGAGCTAAACATGAGAAATATTAATATGTTGATTTTTGTTGATAAGGAAACAGGGACTCAAAGAAATTTTCAAAGCTGGCAAGTAGTAGAGTGTGCATAAAAATTCTTATTGTTGTTGTTCTCAGTACATTTTCTCCAGCACAATGCAAACTGTCCACATAATAATCTCTCCCACATGAGAGAAAAGTTTTTAAATTAATGTTATTTTAACTCATAGGCAAAATACTTAAGATATTGCATAGAAATTAGGAGTAATTGGTAAACATTGAAAATCTTTATCTTCTGTCAAAAAATAAGAAAAGAACACACATTTCACTCATTTTTCAGTGTAACAGCTAAAGCTTGCAACAACAAGCCTAATAGTAACCTCATTTTTCATGCCTAATAGCATCCTCAGAGTGTACGTGGCATGATTTTTCTTCCATCTTCTAAAGACACCACATTTGTTCTCCCGACCATCAAGAGAGCAAAGTCCCTCACTTCTTTCTCTCTATTGTCATCACCCACTGATTCCTAATCTTGATGGTCATACTGTCAATTCCACTCTCATTTATAGATTCATAGTTATTCAAATTATACATCACTGAGAATCATACAGCATTACCATGTAGAAATTAAACACATGTGGAATGTGCATAGCACAAAGGTAACGTGTATTATGAGATATATCAGCATGAATGGAGTGTATTTCAAGGTGAGCAACAGAATAGAAGCAAAAGACACTGAGGTGTGCAATTCATCTTAAAGCAGGCTATCTAGCATGGAGAATCAAAAATTAAAGCAAATTAATAAAACATAAACAGAAGTAAATCCATAAATCAATATTATTAGGGTTTTATTAAGGGAAATATTCTACAGGAAAGAATTTTTGCATTTTACATGTAGAATAACTTTATGAAAACAATTTTACTACTATTTAAATGAACATCAAAAATATACCAAAGACTATACTAGATGCTTCATGTAAATTATCACATTTATGCTTCATAGTAAATGTATACAATATTATACTTCATGAATGCACATAGAGAAATATCTCAGAAAGTTGAAGCAATTGTCTTAAGAGCATATGATTAACAAGTGAAAGCACAAGACTTGAAATCCACTACCTCTGTGTATATACAACTAAGCCAGAAAACTTCTCTAGCCTGTAGTGGCAGAAATTATCATATATTATATTGAACTAGGTCATATGGCACATTTTACATCTACAACCCTCGGCAAATACTTTCCAAACTTCTCCTATGTTCAAACCACTTAGAGTAGCAGTGCTTTGAAGGACGAAATTAGTGAATTGGACACAAGTCCTTTTTTAAAGATACTGAAGTCTGGTAGACACTGAAGGCCGAAAAGACCCATAATAACAATGATACAATAAGGAAAAGGAAGTAAGCCCTACAAAAACAAATAAAATCTTTTGGAAATCCATAGAATAAATTATTATGTATTGCTGATGATTCAGAATGACTCTATGGAAGTGATAGCATATCAACCAGACCTAGAGGGATGGGTGAAATTTAAAGTTAGATAATATAAGTGTTGATAAGGCTGTGAAGAAATTGGAATCCTATGCACTACTGGTGGGCATGTAAATTGGTGTCACTGCTTTAGAAAACAGTAAAGTAGTCCCTCGATGGATTAAATGTAGAATTTTATATTGCCCTGCAATTCGCCTCCTACTACACAGCCAAGAGAAATAAAAACATATATCTACATAAAAACATGTACATAAATGTTTATAGCAGCATGATTCATAATAGTCAATAGTCAAAAGATAGAAACAACCCAAATGTCTATCAATATACAAATGGATAAATAAATGTGTTATATCCATACATTAACATATTATTTGACCATAAAAGGGAATGAAGTGTTGATATTAATGCATGCTACAACATGAATGAACCTTGAAAACATTATGCTAAGTGAAAGAAGTCAGTTATAAAAGTTCACATATGATATGATTCCATTCCTATGAAAGTCCATAATAGAAAAATCTGTAAGACAGTTGTTTAGAGTTGAGGAAGGATATTGGGGTAAGAGTATGATAGCTAAAGGGAATTTTTTTTGAGGTGGTGAAATAGAGGAAAATTCTCTCCAGATACAAGAAACAAATGAGCCCACAAAACAGATTTAGCTATTTTATTTGTTTTTGCCTTGCCCTATTCCTGCTACTTTTTATAGGATTTTTTTTAACAACATACAGTTTATGTAGAACAATGTTACCCCTCCACAAACTGGCATTTTTCCTTACTTGTACCATGAAGGCATTAACCAAACTTAAAGCCAATGTGAAAAATCCTCTCTTTAACCTTTCTTTCCATGTTTAAATTGTACTTTCTTATTATTTATTTTAATTTATAGTTATATGTTCTGGTGTATTAATGTTCTATTA